TAAATTAAAGTAAAATTATTATAAAATATGTAATATAATTTTATATTGGTATTTATATTATTAATAAGATTTGTCAGAACAAAAATCATCCTAGATACAAAATGGTTTAAATTATACATGTATGAGAAAAAAACAGCATCATTCGAGGGAAAATTCGCGTTACTTTGGTAAAGTGAATTTCGTCATAAGCCATCACCTTCAAATAAGCCAATTTTTCGACAACCATTACTGAATCATTTTTACAGCACGCACAATGTTTACCCCCATAAACGCACGTTCTGGTTTAGTCACAAGTGCAATTAAATCTCCCTAAGTTCAAGTCGTCAGGAGACTTAGAAAATCAGATATAATGTGCATTTAGAGAAAAATGCATTTACGGAGGTGAATTACTTAAATGTTTCATGTGCTTAGTACCAAATTAGAGCATGCACATTATATCTGTTTTTTTCTATGTCCCCCGATGATTGGAAGGTTTGACTGTGCTATTGCTATTAGTTTGTTTAAAATCTAAAAATTCGCAATGGTTTAGTAATATCTTTGGGTTATTTATAAATTAGTGAGTCATGATTTGGTAATTTATTTAGTTAGTGGGTATTAATTGAAAACCATATACTCAAGCAGCTGATATTTATAGCTCTGGAATGATTAAGTACGAGATTGTGACATATATGACAATTTATTGAACGAAGTCAATAATAAAGATCTTATTAGACTTTTATAAAGTGCACGACGTATTTCAACATTAAAGAAACTAATCAAGTATTATCGTATCCTGAAAATAAGCACCCTGTTTATTACCATTTTTCTTATTTACACCTATATTTTGTTATATAATCGTCACATTCATATAATAAAAGTAATGTTTATCATGGGGTGCTTATTTTCGAGAATATACGGTATATAATGCATTTTTATTGAGGTTATAGCACAAATTATTAACTTGCATAAGAAGGATGCCAACATTGCTTATTTTCTGTTGCTTGTTTCTGTTCTAAAGAGATAATACCAGTAATGGTGGTCGTACATTTATGTGAGATTTTATCTTCAAACATAGCATCTAGCAAATTTTGAGCTTGTTAAAAGAATTCGAAGTTACAACATTATGAAGGTGTATTGCTAATATTGATTGTTAAGCTAAATGTTTC